TTCAGCAGAACAAAACATCCTTCAGGTAGTCGATTTGCAACGTCAAACGAATAATGTTCCTCTTGACGGGAAAGCAGTTGTGTCAGTCGGAGGGTGATTTTTATGTAATTAGCTAATGAAAAGCTAATTAAATGCTAAATTGTTTTCTTAAGATTTATCACGTCTCGAAAAACAGGTAGCGGAGAAAAAAATTAGCATTTTCTCATGCGCATTTCCTTCTCGCAATTTTTTTTTCGAAACAAATATGTAATTGATGCGTAATCTTTTTTTTATCAAAGCGTGCTGCTGAATGCCACAGAGTCAGGGAAATGAAAGTGTCTGCGTTTTTTTTCTTTCCCGAACGATTTTACCTTCCAGAAGCTAATTTGCTCACGCAGTCGAATTATTTTACTGAAGCTTCGAATTATTTTACTGAAGCTTCGAATTACTTTACTGAAGCTTTGTTTTTTCGTACCGTTCCCTTCTATTTTCCAAACAAAACTGATCTGATCAGGAGACTGGACCCATGGTTCACTCCGCTTTAAATTCTGTCATTCAATCAATTAAAAAATATTTCCATTATCTGTTTTATCCTTTACAGGGTCGGTTACAACTTGACAGTGTTTTGACGAAAAAAAAAAACTCTTTGGTCAATACTAACAGCGGGGAAGCAGAAATTTTAATTTTTTTCATAGTCGTTACTTTTGTTCGAGAAAAGACCCCTGGGATGTGCGAAAAAATAGCCTTTGATTAAAGAAAATTACCTAAACAATGAAGTCCATCTCTAAAGATACAGGAAAACAATAAACCATGGAGGCCGAGGCGGCAGCGAACGGTGCAAAGCAAACTACGTGAACTTGGATCGCTTTCAAGCGTTTGCATTTCGACGTAATTTATTACAGCATTAGACCTTCCAGGTAGAAGGAGATAAATGAATCTCGTTTGCTTTCAAACCGTAATTTCATACTAATTAGATTTTTCAAAACTGAGAGGCAGAGAAATCGAATCACTTTCCATGATGAATATTTCAATCATAAAATTCATTTCAAACGCATTCGAAATCTTTCGATCTGAATTTTTGTTACTTAACCACTCAAAATGGGTATCTAGTTTGATCAGAAGTGTTTTACTTCCACAGTACATCTACAGCAGTTCTGAGCCCCTACAACAACATTTTTACCAAAACAGTGCATTCTTAAATAAATAAAACCATCTGAGTGAAAATTCCGTACGAAAGTTTAAAAAGATTTAATTCATCGCTTTAAATAACGTAAAAACAACTTTCGTGGAAAACGTGAATAATTGTTGTAGGATCAGGTCGTAATTTTTACGGGGACAATATCGATTGTGTGGACAACAGGGGATACACGTATTTTCTTGAAACTTGGACCAGAAATACAGATTTCGAAATCTGTATCAACTACGAATCTTCGATAAACAGTTTGCTGGACGTATGTTTTACCTGCATACAAAACTGCATGTTTTGATCTGAATATCTCATTAATTTTACGAAGGAAATGTTCCTATGGGTTTAAACTTCGATAAAAAAAATAGTACAGATTTCATTAGAATTACACACCAGTTGAACTCACGTTCAAGTTTCCATTTGATTTCTTGAAAACCACTGAATACGCATCTCCTTTCCCTGCCAAAACATGGCCCAGCTCTAGAATCACTTTTTGGAGCGCTTAATGGCACTGTTATTAACGAAATTTTGCTCATTGTAGTGATGTTGCCTTTCATATGCTAATTACATTCTCGCGACGTTTATGAAATCCCAATGCACTCTTCAGCACCTATAAATTGTTAATTGAATTGAGTGGTGGTTCTCTCGAGGTCGTCAAAACAATTAGTTCCTGGCGATTTTTTGTAAGTGACTTTGTGTTTTATTTGGTTTGTGTGTTTCACACTAACGCTTCGTATTTCAGTTTAATTTAATTCCAACTTCATTGCCTTCGGCTCGTGATTTATAAACTTTCCTCTTGTTCTTCCACCATCCCAAGTGGCTAGATCACGTTATCGAGCCCGAAAAAATGTGTTAACGTTCTATTGCTTAATTGTGTTTGTTCAGACAATCCTTTCTCGGTCAGCAAACAATGAAGAATCGTTTTAAAACTTTCTATGCCCTTTCTCAAGTTGATTGAAGTTCCCGTTTTCCTCTTTCTAATTTTTTTTGAGCAAATATGATGAAGTTAAGAGTTCAATGAGGAACCAACCAAAATAAATTTCACTGGAAAGTAGATATGGAGGGAGGGGACTGGTGCTAAAGGTGCTAAAGGTGCTACGATTCCTACGATTCCAAATTCTGGAATCCGCGTTCATAAGACCAATATTCAAATGGCCCTGATTAACAATACATATCTAGCTAGCTAATTTTCTGTTGTGGATAACAGAAAGCAAAAAATGTATGCAATAGGAATAGGAGAAAAAAATGTAATGATAACTTGATGAAAACTACTTGTGACTTACTTTGAAGACACTTCATTAAAACAAGCACACTGTTGATATTTTTCGTGGTCGAATGTTGAGCGAAACTGGTCCTTAAAAAACTTAGAAGTCTTATCTAAGTAGAACGCCAGGACTAAACATCACCGCCTATGTTAGTAGTTTCCGGTGAGCAACTCTTAGTCATAATAACTTTTCAGTGATTTGAAATGACATATATTGTTGAAAATTGTGAAATATTCCAGGAGAGAAGGACTTTGGTTTTTATTAATCTCAGTTGCTCCATTTGAAAAACATTATTCCTTAAATTGTTATTGTTTATTTTCAAACAGTTCTTTTATTTCTTGAGTGCTGAGATTAAACCACGAAAAAACTGGTGCTGATCAGGTATAATAACATTTCACTGTAACAAAGTATCGTTTATCCAATCAACAACAAAATTTCACCGGTGATGAATAAAAGCTCTCGAGGGAACGTTATCAAACAAACACCGCGCTAGCTCCGCGCTGCGCTCACTCGTCCGTTTTCTGTTACTGCTCCCTGAACACGCAAATTAAAGTCGTTTGCGCGCAGTTCCTCGAATGTTGATGACACCTTTCGTTGTCTTTCTGATAAGGCCGTAGAGCCGAACTGATCCACTAGTTGACACTACAAACTTCTCCTTTCCTAAGCTTCATATTGTCCTAAAGAAGTGCCAGGATTTGAAATTATACCTTCGCGCAAGCTTAGAAAATCCATTTGAAATTATAAATTCACGCAAGCTTAAAAATCTTTCCTCGAACAACTTTTCTGCATAACCCTTTAAACGCATCGGCTTGCGTATCGTTTGCGCTCTCCTCACACTTACCTGATTGAAAAGATTACATAAAATTAACAACTATCTGTTGTTTAAATTTGATTAGTTTAAAGGACAAATATAGAACAAAAATTCAAACTTAACGCAAAAGCAAATATAAGGAACTGACGAAATTACATTTTGGACTTATTTATGGATAAAACTTAATTCGTTTCACAACACATAAGCTAGTGTATTTGTAAACAACAACCGACCTGAGCGGTTTGTGATTGGAGATTTTTCGTGCTCTTTCCATTTTGTAGCTTGGTTTCCTTTAAAATGTAGCGTACTTCCAAGACAAACTCCTTTTCTTTCTCACGGGGATCGCAGTGTAAGAATCCAACGCTTGATATTTGTTTTAGTCCGTTTTAACATAAGCTAGGCAATCGCAGAAGTTTACATTTGGATCTGGTGAGATCTCGGTAATGTTTTATAACGCTCAGTCGCTTTACTATAATTAAATCCACTCGCGCACGTGATCTAACTGTCGCCAATAGAAAAACAGCCTTGAAAAGAACCCATTCATATAACCTTGATTGTCATGTTAACCTCATCAATGCACCCCTTTGTTTATGTCTAAAGTTTGTCTCGAGACGAAAATTACCATTTGTGTTAAGTTTTGCTTTCTTTTCCGATTCTAACTGCAAAAACTAGGGTTACGATGTCAAGTTTCGGCTTTTTCGCTGATACGAAATTGAGTGAGTTGAAGCAACGACGCAGTGAAATTCTTATCGTGGCGAATGTGGTAGACATTCGGTCTGCTTCATACCTTTAATTAAACTTTGAAGATAAGGACATTTAACATAGGCAACAACGCAGTAATTTTTCATCTTGTGAAAGTGATGGACGCTCAGCCTGTTTCATTCCTTTTTACTTTGAAAAAGATGAGAACATTAAACACAAGAAATTCAAATAGAAATTCCACTTGTCCAGATTCTTGTAATCTAAATAATTAAGTTCCTATTCCGTTAGAAGGTGTTCGGCAACATAATCATCGTTGTTCACCCTTCCTCGTTTCAGAAAAAATCACGCAACAAACCATATGGAAAATGAGTTAAAGACTAGAACTATTTTCCCATTATTGAGGTCGATTTTTTAATTGAAGTGTACCCGGGGGTCAACAAGGTACAGCTTGGGCAGACATGTCCGCTTTAGCAAAGCATTCAGGGAATGTACTCTTAAAACAAAAAAATTTATTTCGACGTCGAAGGACGGTATTGGAATTTCACGAAGTTAAAGATAGTCTCGATTTTCTGATTGCCCCATACATTATTTGCTGTCGCTTTCAGTTTTTGATCGGAGTCAGGAGTGCTGTCGCTTTCAGTTTTTGATCGGAGTCTGGAGGCCAATCGAAAAGCAACCACAATCTGCTCTCAAAATCTGACATGGAGGAGAGGGGGGGG